TAGGATTTAACCCGAATTGCTAATCGGGTTATATGTCCATTGTTCCCACTTGAAATCAGTTCCGATCCTACTGTGCTCAGTTTAAATCATGATGAAGTGAGGCAAACACAAAAGAACCTCTCTTTCCTGACACTAGTTTTTGGGCAGTTCTTTTGAAAAGACCCAAATCTGAACAGTGTTAAACAAGTGGGAATAATGGGTTGGATTCACATCAAGGGCTTCACTGGCTCTTGTTGGCTTCTCTCAACAGCCCTGGTGCTCTGGGGACTGTGCCGACTCTTGGGGCACAGCTGCAGGGCACCATCTTGGGTGGCTCCCCTCCTGCAGTTCTCCCCAGGTCGCTTCTCCCCAGACTCCGACGGGATTGGAGTCACCTCTGGAGCAGATGAGGAGGAGGAGGAGGAAGTGGAGGAGGGCCTGGGAGCACTCTGGCCAGGCTCCTCAGTTGAGGCAGCTGAGAGTAGGTCAGGGCAAGGAAGAGGAGAGGGAGATGGAGCACTACCGCCGTCACCACCATGGGCAGAGAGAGTCCCTGGAGGGTTCCAGTGAGCAGCAGTGAGGTGAGGGGTGCACTGGAGGGCAGTCCATCTGGAGGAGGCAGAGGAGGATCTGCCAGGGCCCAAGCCTTCCCACCATGCCACCATCCCTCCTCTATTTGTTGTTGTGCGCCTTCAAGTTATTTCCAACTTAGCAAGGTTTGTTCAGAAGGAGTTTGCCTTTTCTTTCCTCTCTTCTTCTTCCTCTCTTTGTGGCAGCCATTCTTCCTCCCCCCCCCAAGTGTGAACTACAAAGGGGAGTAAAAGGAGAGTAAATGGCCCTGGAGAGATTCGATCACAAAATAACCTGGTTTCCACACCGAGTTATTTTGTAGTGGGAATGAGCCCTATAACCCTATTTCCCTGTCCCTACTCTAAGCCAAGCTGCAGTTTTTTAGCCTCTTTATCTGGAGTACAGAGATAATAATATTGTCCAACTTTGCAGGGCTACTTTAAGATGTCAGCTATGCCACACATATGCTTCAGCACTCATATGTGCAATAGAAATGCTAAGTATACTTATTTGTGTTGTCAAGTAATGCAAGTTACACCTTCAAAATCCATGTCTGATAAGTGAGGTTAGGCCATCCAATTGAAGGTTTTGGCAATTGCTGCTACTTGAAAGCAGTGTATGTTATTTCTGTGCTGGATCTTTGTGCAGTGTCTCTTTTATCGGAGATCAGCAAACTGAAGATTTGGCAGCCAGTCAACTTAATCAATCCAAATAGCATTCATTTATCATGACAGAGGAGATCTGTACACTGCTTACACAAGAACGTTCAAACAAGACTTGTGAAAGATATAGAATCTCAGCTTGAAGTAAGGAAATTGAAGTGGAACACTATGTGTCAGTCTCCATGTGATAATTTGTTCTGTCAAAAATGGTACCTTAGCCATTTATTCAGCTTTCCTAGCTCCCTCATCCCTTCACATAGAACAGGAGAGGGCATGCTCCAGGAGTTGGGCACCCATTTTGGCTCCTCCATTCTCCTATGGAGCACAGTGGAGTGCTTGTTGATGACATGAAGTGACATCTTGGGTGACAGGAAGTCACTTCTAAGTATTGAAATAATGCATTTGGGAGTTTTGGGGATGGTTGCCGGTGGCTCCCAAACAGCATTTGTAGTATGTAGGTAAAGCAGGCTACCAGGAGTCAAATTTTCAACATTTTTAAAAAACATTTTTTCTAGTTTATTTTATTTTATTTTTATTATCTTTTCATTGAATATCCACAAATCATACACAGAACACAACAATACAACAAAATACAACAAAATAATATATTATAAATAAAATATCTGGTATATATAAGGGATAGTTTCTATGCATCATTACTTGATTAAACAAACTTTATCCTGAAAATTGTTTTTCCCTGTCTTTTCAGAGGCTTAGTGGTTAAGACACCAGTTCTGACAATTGGAAGGTCAGAAGGTTGAGAGTTCACGGCCCAAGTGCGGCATGATGGGGTGCGCTCCTGTCACTAGTCCCAGATTCTGCCAATCTAGCCATTTGAAAGCATGCAAATGCAAGTAGATAAATAGGTACCACTTCAGTGGGAAGGTAACAGCATTCGGTGCAGTCATCCTGACCACATAACTATGGGATCATCTTTGGACAACAGTGGCTCTTTGGCTTAGTAATAGTTATGAGCACCACCCCCTACAGTTGATTACAACTAGACATTCATGTCAGAGGAAAACCTTTACCTTTATGATACTTACTTTTTAACAACATCTTCCTCCTCCTTAATCCACACCTTTTCTCTACTTTGGTCTCCTTTCAATTTTTTTTCTAGTCTTTTAAAGAGGGAGACTCAGGGGGGCAAGAGCAGTATGGGACCCCCAAGTGGCTGCATGATTCCCACCCTGACATAGGAGATTCCAACACATGCTTTTAAACTATGATTTCCCTGGGAGGGAAGCAATTTTGGTGATACTGATTGCATGATGCTGCCTCTCATCCATAACTGCTTTGTCTTCTTCTCATTCAAGGGGGAAACCCATGAATGACCTGGCAATTGTGCAAGTCATTCCTAGGACACTTGCGTGTTCCAAGTGTTCCCTCCTTCCCCTTCCCCCCTCCCTCACCAGTCTTTTTATTATTTTTCTTTCAGTTTTTCGTGCAATTCTGAAGCTCTGTAGACTCAAATGAAGTTTTTTTTTTAAAAAAAACTCTTAAAAGTTTAAATTGTGGCTGCAGACTTCCAGAATTGTGCAAAAAAAGTTGAAAAAAATTAATAAAACAAACCCCCAAAGGCATGCTGGGTAGGGGACAAAGAAGAGAGTCAGGACTAAATGGAAGGGCAGAAAGAGAATGAGATGGTGGCAATAGCCCTAGTTGTGCAAATAAGAGATGCAGTGATGCATGCCCTAAAATCAGTATGATACTATTTTATTTCACTTGTGTGTGAATGCAGTGAGAAAAGGGCTGGTGTGATAATGTCCATAAGCTTTCTCCTTGGCATGTTTTTTTTTTTCCTGCTGAGCTAAAATTCCTTCTAAGGGAATTTGTTGGGAAAATTTCATGTATTTTATTCTTTTTCAGAGCCACTCTCCCATGAAGGAATTTTTTGCTGAATGCTGCAGAATATCCTACTCCACCCCCACCCCTGTAGCATCCTAAACAAAACTAGTTGCAGCAAATAGCAGGGAATGTAAAATAATAATCAGGCTTCTAATACAGTGGATGCTGTTGTCCAGTGGAGCAAAACCATGCAAAACCATACCTGAAAATTTGTTGACATTGCCGGGAGCACTCCCTTCAGAAAATGGTGCTGTTGGCTGTTTGGGGGTAAATTTTGTTTTAACCTTCAGTTTTTCAGTGTCAAGCAGTGGTGACTGGTGGCTTTTGCATCAGTAGTATGGAAGATCTGCTTCAAGTCTGAAGGAGCTATCCAAGGTCCCATATCCTCTTCCCAAAATAAATTCAGCACCTTGGACATCTCCTTTAAAGTTCATATTGGTCCTTTACAGACTGTCAGAAATAATGCAGTTTGAGGCCACTTTAACTGTCCTGGTTCAGTACTAAAGAATCATGGGAACTGTAGTTTATTGTTGCACCAGAGCTCTCTGACAGAAGGCTCAATGTCCCAGAAAAAAATACAATTCCCATGTTTCCCTAGCGCTGAGCTAGGACAGTTAAAGTGGCCTCAAGCTGCATTATTTCTGGCAGTCTGTAAAGGCCCATTATGACCACAGAGAATTCACTGCTGCACTCATTGCATGGAAGCCATCAGCTACCACTGGTGTCAAGAAAATCAGACTGAAGTACTCAGTTCTTTCACTTTAGAAAAGCTCTGGTTTTTAGAAAGAAATGCTCTGGCAATAATAATAGTAGGTGCATTGAGATGGCTCTGTCACCCTTAATCACACTGGAGGGAACCAATTCCTTTTGCTTGCCTGTAACCATGTTCTGAAGCAAGAAGGAAGGAAGGAAAGTCACACTATGTATGAGGGGATGGAATGGGGCTGAGGAAGGAGGAAACAGATTGTAGTCTTTTTTGTGGGTTTTTCAAGTCATATGGCCATGTTCTGGAAGAGTTTATTCCTGACATTTCACCAGCAGCTGTGGCTGGCATCTTCAGAGAATGCTGGTATGGAAGAGAGTGGGGTATCCACTGCATTATATTACCCATGGGAGTCCATCTTCCATTGGCCTTAGTGGGCTGCATCCCAGCCCAGGTGCCCCATATAGCCAGTGATGGGAATTTGATTCCTTTACAGGGAAGCGTCAGGGTAGAATTTGTATGGAGGCCCACTTTTTGGCTGTGAGGAGATGCTTGACTCCATCAGCCAACCAGCTGGAATGCTTCTCTGCTATGTATCATCTGAGTTACCACCAATAAAACCTATGCTATAGCAACAACATGTGTTTGGCACTGAAAGAACTCTTAGGGAGGCTTGGAACTACATCCAGTTCCAGAACAGAAAGCACATGATTATGTCCTATGATCTTATCCCTTTTGCCCAGTTTCATTGCTCTGGAATGCATTGTTTCATATGAAGGTATGGGGATTGAGTTTATGTACAGTGGGAATACCTTTCAGAGTACAACCCCCACTCCTTCTCCACTCCTCCTCTCCCCCATGTAGCTAATGCATTACTGCAGGATTCTGACTTTGGAGAAAGTCTTATGAAGCTATTAGCTGTCTGCATGAAAGGCTAATAATGATCATGAGTGGTTTTTCCAAAGTGGTTTCTGACAGGTTGGTTCTGTATTTGTTTTATTAATTGCCTGTTAATTTAATAATGTTTTAATATTAATATTTAGTCTTTGTTTAATTGTGTTGTAACACTCCTAGTTTTTGTCTGTTGCATTATGTTGTTGTTGTGTGTGACTTGTGGCAACCCTAAGGCAAACCTATCATGTGTTTCCTTGGCAAGGTTTATTCAGATGAGGTTTGCCATTGCCTTCCTCTGATGCTGAGAAAGTGTGACTTGCCCACAGTCACCCAGCAGGTTTGCATGGCAGAGCAGGGATTCAAACCCTGGTCTTCAGAGTCATAGTCCAACACTCTAACCAATACACCAAACTGGCTTGTTTGATTATGTTATCTCTGGGTACATTTTAGTCTTTTTGTCAGCTATATTGAGTGGGAGTTCTGAGGGGTGGGGGGGTAGAGAAACAGTATATAAGTCTGATAAATACATGAAACATAAAGAAAGAGAAAGCAGGCAAGGGAAAACTGATTATTTTTCCTCCTACCTCTCCTTTGTACTTTCCAAACAGTTGTAGAACTAAATGGAATATTTTGGAGTGTTTTGCTATCAGATGGAAACAAAGCTTTATGATTAGCTGCTGAAAGTGTAGAACAGCCACCAGTTTTTCAAAGTACCAGGCACTGAAAGAAAATGTGCCTAAACTGGGAGCAAATCAGCATAGAACAAATGATTAAATATGAAACCTAATGAAAGTATGTGGCTAAAATTGCAGCCTAGCAGAGCAGCAGAGGTTATAATTCAATATAAGGGGCTTGTTAAAGTACGCCAAGAAAGGAGTAAAAGCAATGCTGATGACTTTATGATCAAAAGAAAGGATTAGATGCAGAATGTAAAGGAAACATTAACAGCCCACTTTAGCACAGCAAATAAGAGGCTAACAAAAAGAAAGATAAGACTCTTTTCTTTCTGCAAAATTGCAAAACATTTTGCTTTATAAACAAAACACACAGACTCACATACCTACCTGAAGTTGTTGTACAGTTGGTGTGACCCTGCAAGTAAATATGTAGAGAGATCTTGTAGCATGTTTAAGACAAACTGAAAGAAAGAAGTTGGCAGCATGAGCTTTCATAGATTTAAGTCAACTTCCTCAGATGCATTTAGACATAAAGTTAATCTTCAAGAAAAGTTTGTGCAGTGGGCCCTCCACATTTGCTGGGGTTAGGGACGCAAGACTCTCATGAAAGTGGAAAAACTGCAAATTAAAAAACAAAAAACACTTTTTTTTTTAAACCTGAGAGAACACCACTCTAGGAATCTATGTAAAACTATGGTCAACATCCACTGGAGCTTGACCATGGAATTGTGCTGGAGGGCCTATAAATGCATAGAGAAGTATTCTGTCTAGGAATCTCTAGGTTCTCCAGCACAACCTCTTGTAAAATGACATGAGGGACCTGGAAACTGTGGTGCACACCCTGGTAACCTCTCGT